TACAACCTGGTTCTTTAGACAGGCCTTTACCCCGAGTGGTGGCTTTGTAAGCGGCCAGCCCTAGCCACTGCTGCATTCGTTAGCTAACCTGTATCTTCAGGTCAGGGACTGTCTCTGCCTATGTTTGGATAGCGCCTGACATTAAGGGTACTTACTTGCTAGTACAATAACGTGAATAATAATTAATGCTGATTTATTAATTCTGCATTCCTCCAACGGACTCATTGGTGGTAGTGATGGATCGTTATTTTGCTTTTTCTCGAAGGCAAGTGTCCTGAAACGGGATTTAAAAGCAAAAGCCACCTTGTCGATCTGCTCCGCTCTTGGTTAACTAAGCACTCTCTTTTGGAAACGCATTAGAAGTTTGGCTGTCTTTTTTTTTTTTTTTTTTTTTTTTGGCGGGACTGGCCTTTTGAGCAAACAAACGATGTGGAAAATCAAGTGGAAAAACCTGATCCCTCACAATCCCGGTTTCACTCAATGAAACAGCTTTGCTTTCCCCTGATAAAAGTTGTATTCTAGCAGCTAAAGGCTGCTGGAGTCTAGAAGCAGAGTCAGTTCTCCATGGGCAGCGGAAGGATTGGGGAGGGGGGGAGAGATCAGAAATGAAATTCCCCCTTTTATCCTAATACACATCTTTTCAATTTTTTGTAATTGCCAGTCTCTGCCATAATGAGATCCTTTGAATCCCAAAAGACACGTTTTAATGTTACATCTTTATCTTTGGGGAAAACCTAGTTTTCCATCCTTGTTACACATCCTCTTAACAATCAGAGCCCAAGACCCTGAAAAGAGACCTATTGCACAATTTCTGCTGAATGCACTTCTTAGCTCATATAATGCTAGGGCCTTTTGATGTGCTACAATGCGCGTTACGCCCAAAGATTGTCTCTTTGGACAGATCTACAACGCTTGGCTTAATGTTTGGAAGTTAAATGGGTAACAAGGATGTTGAAACTCCCACGCTTTAGCCACTGCAGTCGCTACATTTTCCTGTTAAGTTTCTATAAGTGACACAGACATGGTGGAGTGAAGGAGGCTGGGGGCGGGGAAGGAACATTTTTCTCTTTTATTTCCCCCCCCCTTTACTTTTTTCTGTCAGCCTTAAAATAAGAGCTTTTTGGGAAGACTCTGTCTTGTATAGGTAGCTTGTATCTTCAGGTCCCCGGCAATGTTGCTACTCCATGAAATCAAAATTTATGATTATTCAAATGTTGGGGAGTGTGAAAAGAGAGGAAGAAAGAGAGAAAATTAATATTGCAGCTGTTCTTCTGATTAATGAGAGATAATTGCTCATGAAAAGTCACCCCTGTGGCATTTTGTTGTCTCCTGGATCTTTGTTCTTTTCCACTATTATTGAGGACTTTCTTGAAGACTAAGCGGTTCTTTTCAATTTTTGGTATTCAGAAAGTGTTGCTTGGTTACAGATAATGGAGAAATCTCGGGCTATATTGGGTAAGATGTGCCACAGACAGCAATATCACAATGCCACTTTCAGAAAAGGATGGATACAAGTTAACGATGCGCTTTCAATAAAACATTAATAGACTTGTTCACGCTTTTATAATGACCTCGTTAATGGGAGCTGGGGGCAAGTCCTGTCTTCTGCTTGTGTTCACCTAACAAAACCCAGCTTTGAGATCGTTCGCAAACTAATATGAAACCCATGTTAGATTAGCAGATAAATGTGATTATAACGCAGAAGTCAATGTTCCCTTTGGTTTGCAAGGGATTCTTTCCCCATGCAAATGATCCAAACTAGTGTGCATTCTTCCCACAACACCCCATTCACTGGAGAGCAATTTGGTCACTGGCTGTTTGTAAGCGGGCTATTCCACGGTTTGACTTACACAGTTATGCCTGGGTGCCGCCTTCCGTGCATAGCCAAATCCCGCAGGGAAGTGAACGTGTGTGCTATAGGGAACGAGAGCGGAATCGTTCCCTAGTAGGAGTTTATTGGGATTGGGGGAGGGAGATTTCGCTTTTGTCATTTAAGCTGCGAATCTCTTATAAATAAAGCCATCTGGAAGAAAGGGAAAATAAGGGCACCTAGTCCTGCAAGTTGCAGTCTGGGGGGAGCAGAGCTGATGTTCTTTTTGAACTGCTCTGGTTTAAAAAGGGGAGCAATTTCGTTACATTCTCATTTGTTACACTGTCTTGAACTAAAGGCAGACAAAGCTATACTCTGTCACCCCGAGCAGAATGAAGGGAATCAAAGGATTTTCCCTTAAAAGGACTAATTTTCTCCTTGAATTATGAAAGTAATGGCTAGGTAACAGCCTGTGCTCTGTACCCAACTGCTTAATACCTTCTAAATCCTTCCACGTGGCTCGACTAGTCGTGGCAATTAGAGCTCATTATAGGCTCATAAGAGCTCTCATTTCGGGGATTACTTAATGGACAATGAAATTTTATCGGACAGAATTATTGAAAAATAAAATTGTAAGGAGGTCGATGTGATGTGGGCGCACGCCTTGCATCATTCCGCCTGGTTTGGGATATCTTCGCCTACAATTGCTGTTTGCTTCCTCTGTTATCACTGCCCTTGCTTTGTTAGAACAATTACCGATTAAAACCGTGATCTGATTCTTACCCTGTCTGACTTTCCTTAAATAAGGCAATTTCCCTCCAGATCCGCTCTTTCCGAGCAGAGACAGCCTCCCCCATTTCAAGGAGCGGGTGATTTCCTTCTTGTACACACAGATGACTCCAAAGCTCTCTATCCATTCCAGTAAACGCTAGGTTACACTGGACGATCTAGAAAAAGAATCTCATAATGGGACACGTATATCTGTGCGCTACTTACCTATGTGGTAAAGCCTAATAAGAATAATATTTTAAAGTGTCAATGAACTTCCGATAATTTACTACCTTTAGCTTCCAAAGACACTGTTAGGCCTAGATAACCTGTGGATCGCATCTGTTAATTTGTCTTTAATCAGTGCAATCGTTTAAACCATATTAACATGGCGCTTTGCCTCAGACCACTTTGCTTTAATTGATCGTTCTTTAATTGATCTTTCTTCTTAATCATTCCCCCCACCCACTCTCTCTAGCTATCTCCTGCCTTCCGGGATCTTTAAGTCTTTGATCTTGTCTGTTGCTCTGAAGGAGTAAATGGTGCCTTTGTAAAGGTGCTTTGCTAGCAATAGTTAAAGCTGACCTGCCTTAAACTCTGCAACTCCCTAATTGTTGTCACAAGATGTTGGATTAACACATTTCTGGAATAGCTGTCTGTTTACACTCCAGAGAGCCGCAGTCCAGTAAACACTTTCTAATTGAATTCTAATCACATTTGAATAGCTCAATAACCAGCCTCAGCTGCAATTCATAAAACTTTAATTGCCATCCATAAATCCTGAGCTCCCCGAGTGTGGAGTGTCCCTACAATTCAATTATACCGCGCTTGCCTGAATTTAACTGGATGGCGGCAAGGAGAGGCAGTGACAATTCCTCCTCCCCTTACTCAGCTATTGATGGTGAACGGAGCCCTACTTCTGTTTCTCGTAGCGTGTCCTTTCCCGACTGCTGGGGGGGGAAGGCCTAGCTTCTTTCTATTTTGTAACGGGGGAGGCTCACTGGCCTTTTCACTGATGCGGAGATGCGCTGGTACTTTATACTTCCAGATCAGTGGCGTGGAAATAGCCCTCTAATAGAAATGCAAGCAAATAAGCAAGCTTTGAAGGCCACTTTACTTGACTTTGAGAGACATTTGAACGGTGATCGCTGTTCGATTGTGCCCAATTGCCCAGGCACTTCTTTTAGGGTGATTGTCCGTCTTTCTTTTTCGCCCCACACCTTAATATGCTTTAAATACGTTAGCACATAGACTCCTGTTCTAGCCTGGCTTTTGGGGGCCAGAGTTTTCTGCTGTAAACTGCAATTGTCATCCCTGATTCCAAAGTCACTTGAAGTTGGATACATTGTTGTTATCTCTACGTGATGACTGGAGTCAGCTCACCAAGAATGCAACGTTACTTCTATTAAACGATAAGTCCCCTCTTAAACTCCCACTATAGAACAGGTCATTGGAAAATCGTGCAGCATGCTGCAAATACCTTGGCTCTTTAATGAAATTTGAAATGTTCAGGAGTCACCGACCATATTTCGCTGTTCATCCAATTTTACTTGGAATGATTGCTTCGGCAAACTTGGTGGAGATCAAAGAATGCCTCGCTGACATTTTCTCTTTTCATTAGGCTTTTGAATTGAAGCTTTGAAATGATCATGGAAGTTAACTTGAAAGTCTTCCGTTTTGACGTCTTGGCTGAGAAGTGTCCAGATATTTGAAGGTTTTGCCTGTTGAACTAATTGCCAATTTGACAGGATTCGCTCATAGCCACTCCCCCCCCTCCCCCCCGCCTTTTACCTCTGGAATAGCTCTGATAACATACTTCACAGAAAATATAAGGGCGACTAAATTCTTGGGAAAGCAGAGGGAGTTGTTTCTAGGTGTAAATCGACATACTGAGAGAAACGATCATCCAGAAATTAGAATGACCAGATATTACAGGGTAAATGAAAAGAAAACCAACCCGGATCCTACTTATTTCCTCACGTGTCACTGGTTTCCCCCTACTCAAGAAATGGTGCATTATTGGCATAAAGTCCGTGATGGGAGACTCCCTTGCGGTTCATTTTAAAACCTAGTCAAAACCGTGCATTTGTTTACAGGGTAACGTGTCCGCAAGCTCAACGTGGGCTGTGCCTGAATCACAAACAGGGCAGCTGTGCCCCCTCCGTTGCTCCCCATTCCTATAATTTATCTGGAGAGAAGGAGAACTGAAGTCATGGTGAAATTAACAAAACACACACACTTTGGAGAGTCTCCCCTTCGCCCCCCCCCTCCCCGCCCCGTTTTGTTCCAACTCGGGCAGCCTATCCTGAGGGGTTTGGAGGAGAAGCCAAGGAGGTTTAGATCTGCATCTCTTTCAGGAATCACGTGTTAAATAGTTGATATAAAACCCCGGCGCAGGGGATCCAGGCGGGGGACTGTAAGACCAGCCCTCTCCAGGGACCCTTTTGTTCAGCTCTCAGACATAAGCACCTTCTCGCTAGCCAAGTGCTCCAGTGGCAACTTCCCCGCCTTGGCAAAGGAGACAGACCCGGGAGAGCCAGCCCCGACCTGCAGCCATGTCCCGATCCTTCTATGTCGACTCTTTAATCATCAAAGACTCCTCGAGGCCAGCTCCTTCCCTGCCTGAGCATCCCCACGGACAGGATTTCCTCATCCCCCTCAGCATGCCTTCCCCCCTGGTCATGTCGGTGTCCGGCCCCGGCTGCCCGTCCCGCAAGAGCGGCACCTTCTGCGTGTGCCCGCTCTGTGTCACTTCGCACTTGCACTCGTCCCGGGGGGGCGGCAGCGGGGCCATCCCCCTGCTCAAGAGCCAGTTCCCTCCCGGGGGAGATGCCCAGTACTGCCCCCGGATGAGCCATGCCCAGCACCAGCAGCCGCACCAGCAGCAGCAGAGCTCGGTAGCAGCCGCCGCCGCCCTGGGCCATCCGGCGCACCACGCACCTGTCTGCAGCGCCACCACCTACAGCGTGAGCGACCCCCGGCGATTCCACTGCCTCGGCATGGGTAGGAGTCACCTGGCCGCGGCGTTCCAGCTGCAGCTGGAGGGCGAGGGGCGGCCGGGCTTTGGGGGGGAGGGCGAGGGAAGGTGGTGACTAGGGAAGGATCGGGCATTCCCGCGCCGGCTCGGGGAAGTAGCAGGTGTGCGGTCGCTCCCGCGGGGGCAGGTCTTGTGAGACAGACAAAGAGGAGGCAGGTTTTCAGGGCGGGCAGGTAAGCGCAGGCTTTCTGCCAGCCACGCCTTGCGAGGCGCTTACAGCGGGGTTGCGTCTTGCTGTTTCTGGGATCCGTGAAACGAGCGCGGGAGGGAGAAATGCAGGACTCGTCAAGAGCGCCAGGGACAGACCAGGCTTAACGATTTTCCTGGCACTTAGCCCTTCTTTTTCTCCCGCCTAGGAGGCTCTGAGACGAGCCACATTCAGAACGGCAAGAGGATGAGGACTGCCTTCACCAGCACGCAGCTTCTGGAGCTGGAGAGGGAGTTTTCTTCCAACATGTATCTGTCCCGCCTGAGGAGAATCGAGATCGCGACCTACCTGAACCTGTCGGAGAAGCAAGTGAAAATCTGGTTCCAGAATCGAAGGGTGAAACACAAGAAAGAAGGCAAAGGAACCCAGCGAAACCCCCACGGAGGCTGCAAGTGCACGGGCAACCCGGGCCATTACCCCAGGTCAGAAGACGAAGAGTCTTTATCCCCCTCCTCGGCGAACGAGGACAAAGAGATCTCCCCTTTATAAAGCGCTCAGCAAACCCTCGCCAAGCTGGGACGCCTTCCAGCCTCTGAACTAACTGCTCCTACTAGAAGGTTGCAAGTCTGAACTAAACAGGGAAGCCTATGTGACTGCAACGGGGTACACCTGACCCAGCTGTGACCAGGCTAAGGCACAAAGGAAACAGCTCTTGCTGGCTTTCTCGGCCGATCCGGTTTATCTGAATGGATCCAGTCCTAGCTATTTCGAATGTCCAGGCTTTAGGGGGGAGCGTTCAACTAAAACCTTATTTATAGAACACATGGAGCGATTCTGAACTTAACAAAAAGTTAGCGTGGTCCTGGATTTCCCATAGGCATGGCAGGTTGCCTCCCCTCACTACAGGTGAAGAAAATCCCATTTCATGACTTTGCTGAAAAGTTGTGACGTTGAGAAGAAGTTAGCGAATGAAAAGGAAAAAAAGTAGGTCTAACAGCATGAGAATCTTCTGTACAGTTTTACACATTGCAAACCGTTCGGACGTGCGTTTGTATGTGAATAGTTTTATATAAGATTTATATTTATATTTATTTAAATGAGGTCAGACAAGAATTTTAATTTTTTAAGTGCCAGCGTAGTTCAAACAATAATGGTGTAATTAATTAATGGGGCAAAATGGTGTTTTTTAAAAATGCTTTGTACACTAATTGAATTTCCTGTTTCAGAAGTATCTACATCAATCCAAATAAATGCCATCAGCTACTAACCTGAATAACTATGTTTCCTGTCACACCGGGTTTTAAAAAGTCGCACCTAGTTCAGCATAACTTTGCAAAAGAAGCAAGGTCCCAAAGCCTGGCACTGTAAATAGTTTCTCCTTACTTTTGAGCAGTGGGCAATGCCTGGTCTGAGAGCCTGTGACAGCGTGTGGTACCCACCATGCAGCTGAGCAGTGCTTCTGAAGCTGGTTACTGGTGGTGCTACTGAAAGTGGAGCAACACAATCCCCAGCCATGGGAGTGAGGGGAGGGGGCTCCCTGGAGGGCCCAATCCTGCAGGCACTACAGTCAGTGGCAGAGTAGCCATGAACCCCAAGAGCTTGCTCTAGCATCTCCTGAGCATGGCAGAGCCCCAGGAGGAGTATGGAGCCCGCAGGCGTGGCCCCTTGCTGTATTAGGAAAGCTTTGTGCCAGAGCAGGGCTGAGTGACTCCAACCGTAGGTGTGTACAGCCTAAAGCTTGTCCAAAAAGACAAAGGACTGGAGGGTGAATTACAGCCCAGGGGTGTGGTGTGATGCAGTGTGCTCTGTCCTGCAGGTGACTTTGCCTGAGTCAAATCCATTAACCTCAGGCATCAGCTGGAGCTAAGCTGTGGAATTTGGCCCACTAAGTGTAGGTAGGTGACAGCAGCACAGTACCATCCAGGACAGATTTTGCCCAAGATTCCTAAATGGACCCTTCAAGGATTGATGGCACAGTCCTGGGTTTAGCAGGCAAGTGCTCAACCCACTGAGCTATCCTAGTTCTAGCCCAGTTGTACAGCTGGACTGCAGAGAGTGAAGGCTGGAGGGCAGATGGTGGGAGTTTTGCCACAGATTTCAATGGGACAAAGCTCTTCAGTCTCTCCTTAGTGAGTATTCCTCATAGCAGGATGGATTGCCATTCATGAGCCTGCCACCCTTTCCAAAGGCTGGAACATCTTTGGGTTACACCTCCCGCAGCGATCCTTCATGTGACTGTGCCAGCTTTTTGCCTAGGATTAGATAGGCCTATTTTACCTCCTGAATTCTTTTCTAACACCATTTTTTTGCCCTTTGTTACAATCTCTTGCTATTTTCTCCTTCTCTTGAGAGAGATTTCCAACCACAGCCTCTATCTGATATAAAAAACCATTAGAAAAATGTATCTCCTACACACTTTATTTTTTATATATCCTTTCTCTCTAACAAAACCCTGGCATCTGGGCTAAGATGTTGGTCCCTTCTTTCAAGTGCCTGTCACACTTTTAATCACAGGATGGATAATGAGGTTCCCAATGGTTTGCACAGCAAAAGCCAATAACCTAGGCACACTGTACATTAGCAGTGCATGTCCTGGTGCATGAAAGCAAATGCAGTTCTGAACAACGAGGTTTGATAGATTTCATGCAAAACACAAGTACAAATAGTGTTACTCAGAAAATGCCCTCTGATAGAAGGGTAATTAGAAATACATTAGTTATGGGTTGATAGTGCATGGTTATTAATATTGTGCTTTATTATTTGGGCAGGGCCTGATTTAGCACTCCCAACTCTCACTGAAATCGATGCACTTGGCTCCTCTTACATTTTCTCCAGCAAGAATCAAGAGTAACTGCATTGCAGTCAATGAAGTTACACTGGGGTGAAGGTGATGTGAGAGGAGAATCAGATCAACAAGCTAGATAACCCACAGGTTCAGGGACATAGGACCTGATTCATCACTACCTAACACCAGTTTCATACCGCTGTGACTCCCCTGAAGTACTGAATCAGGCCCTCAATGCAGACAATGTACAATACACAAAGATTAGGACAAGCTCTTCCCCCAAAGGCTTCTAGAAATAGTTATAGCCTACCAGAGAAAGCTGAGATTACATGATCCTGTGGCTGAAAGGTGAAGCTAGATAAATTCAGACTGGAAATGAGGCATACATTTTGAACAGTGAAAGCCACTGGAATGATTTACAAAGTTGGTACTGGATTCTCTATCACTAGCTATTTTCAAATCAAGTCTGGATGTTTTCCTAAAAGATCTGCCCTTGGAAGTATTGTGGGGAAGTTCTATGGCCTGTGCTATACAGTAGATCAAACTCAATCACAGCAGTTCCTTTCAGCCTGACAATCTGTGAATCAGGGTGGTTAAACCCTGGAATAAATTGCCTAGGGAGGTTGTGGAATTTCCATCACTGAAGATATTTAAGAACAGGTTAGGCAAACATCTGTCAGGGATAATTGATATGGTCCTTGGTCCTGCCAGTTGATGACCTCTAGAGGACCCTTCCCGTTCTATGATTCTATGAATTTGCAACACACAGAGAAGGATATAGTGGGTACAATCTGGGGACTACTCAGTATTTTATTTGGCTGCTTTTGTTTATTCACCCATATCATACAACAAATTCACTTCACATCTAATTCAAAATATGTTTTGGGGGTGGGACTGGAATGATCAGGGAGTTTCAGTTTGACAAACTGGGACTGGGAAGTCACTCCACAGAGAAACATGTAAAATTAATGGATGGGGAGCAAGAGAAGAAAATTGAGCAGAGCAGGCTGGGGGCAATCACTGGTAGAGCAGGATTGAGAAGAAGCAAACCTGTTTCCCTCCTCCCCCATAATTCTATCATTGTAAAAATTCGGATACATTTTCTGTCTAGTTTTTTTTAAGTTGTTTGTGTTGAGCCAAAGAAAGAATTGTAGGGAGTTCTCAATTGTTGGGAGCTCATGAACAGGTCTGAGGGGATCAGGGGCGGCCCTAGACTAGCTGCCAGCAACTGGTGCCCTAGGCGAACCATGCAATCGGCACCCCCACCTCCAAACCCCTCAATGATATTGCACCACCATTTGGCGTCCCATTTAACTTGGTGCCCTAAGCGACCGCCTAGTTTGCCTATATGGACAGGCCGCCCCTGGAGGGGATCAGAGACACCCTGCCCATCCTATACAGGTACAGGAGGTAAGGGGTTCCAGCTAGATCCTGGCTAGATAGGAAGAGGACTTTGGAAGAGGGAGCCTGGTATACAAGAGGGTGAGAACTACAGTTATATATCAATATGTTAGAAACATTTTCTAATTGTGTTCCAGAGTATACAATGAAATATTGGGACATCTACTTGTGTAACACATGTAAATTCAAAGATGAAATGACCAGAGGTAATGTTACTTTCACCTTGCACAGGACTGTACTTGTCATAACAATGTTAATGAAATGAGAAATAAAACCAAAATGAGTTTCATTATTACTCCCTAAAAAATTATCACATTTCTTCAACTCAGGTTTAGGCACAGGTTTTAGCTTTGTGCGTCCCGTTCTGCTTCAGCTGAAATGATTGGGAATTTATTTTGAGTGCAAGAGATGGTCCTTTTTATTGTAAATTCGGTGGGCTAGATTGTACCCTTGTAAAGAGAAATCTTCTTGTAGGGAGGAGCAGGCCCAAGAAATTTGCCAGAGGCACCTTATGGGCTACTCAGCTAATTGTTTCCTCAGACAGGAGTCATTTGGGGGGTAATGAGGGACCAATGGCATGGCTCTCCAATCAAAGGAATCCTAAGGATCCATGAAAGAGAGAAATGCAAGCTTTGTGGAGGCTGAGGCCTCCTCATGGGGAGCTGTCCAGTCTTTTCAGTGTTGCCTTCCTCACCAGCATGGAGGAGCAACTGAGAGGACCCAACTGGGGTGAATTTGAATTCAAGAAGTATTCATTTACAGAAGGACACCTATGGGTCTGACAGGGGAGGATACCAGAGAGCAGTTGGTGCTTTGTTTCACCCCACTTGACTCTGGTCTGCTCCCAAAATCTCACAGAGACTTTTCTTGCATAGACATTTTCATGTAATTATTGGGGAAGGGAGTGATGCCACAGATATGGGAACTCCCCTTTCTGCTCCCATTAGGTGAGTTCTACCTAGGCCTGGTCTACACTAGACCAGGCAGGTCAGCTTAGAATCAGAGAATCACAGAACACTAGAACTGGAAGAGACTTTGAGAGGTCATCGAGTCCAGTCCCCTGTCCTCATGGCAGGACCAGGCACGGTCCAGATCATCCCTGATAGATGTCTATCTAACCTGCTCTTAAATATTTCCAGAGATGGAGATTCCACAACCTTCCTATGCAATCCATTCCAGTGTTTAACCGCCCTGACAGTTAGGAAGTTTTTCCTAATGTCCAACCTAAACCTCCCTTGCTACAGTTGAAGCCCATTGCTTCTTGTCCTATCGTCAGAGGCCAAGGACAACAATTTCCCCCCTCCTCTCTGTGACACCTTTTTAGATACCTGAAAACCACTATCATGTCCCCTCTCAATCTTCTCTTTTCCAAACTAAACAAGTCCAATTCCTTCAGCCTTGAAGGATGGCTTAAAGTATGCCATCCAATTATGCAAAATGCCTACCTCCTACACTAGACCTGCTAATTCGAATGCTAGAAGATAGATCTCTGGAGGGTTGATTTTCTCTGGAAAATAGACATGTCCCTAAAGTCCACCAAGGAAACTTCTGCTCATATAAGAGAAGGAGTCAGGCAAGACCTTAGTGTCTTCAGACAGTGAAACCAAAGAAAATTGGTTGAAACTGAAATAGCTGCAGTTTCACAGATGGTTTTTCTTTTACCCATAAACACATTTCCTTGGACCAAGTTGACCTCTTTCAGTATAAATGAGTGGGAATCAGTGATATTATGTCCTCCTTCTCTGATATTTATCGTCATCACAGAAATAGGTGAAGTGATGGCTTCAACAGAGTTGTTTATTTCTTAAAAAGCGTGGAAAGTGGTATGTTATAGTTAGACTTACTAGTTGATATTTTTACAGTGCTTTGAGGATGTAGCAGGCTCTAAAGACTACATATTATTATTATTATTGTTTATTATTAGTATTTTAGTATTGTTATGTAGTATTGTTTTGTTATACTATATAACATAATCGCACTATATATATATAAAATTCCCGCTGGGTGACAGAATGACATCATTGTGGCATCACGTTCTCTGGCCATGAAAGTGGCCTGGGGAAGAGGGGCGGTTGGTGAGCAAAGTGAGTAAGGCACAGCCACCTAGTATAATATGTGAATATTTTATGGTTTCCATCACCATAGTATCCAAGGGTATGTCTACACTACAGCACTAATTCGAACTAACTTAATTCGAATTAGTTAATTCGAACTAAGCTAATTCAAATTAGTGCATCTAGACTTAAAAACTAGTTTGAATTAGTGTTTTGCTTAATTCGAACTAGCATGTCCACACTGAGTGGACCCTGAACCGAGGTTAAGGATGGCCGGAAGCAGTGCCGGCAGGGCATCAGGTTAGGACTTAGAGCGTGGAGCTGCTGTCTCAGGCTAGCCGAGGGCTGTGCTTAAAGGGACCCGACCCCCACCCCGGACAGACAGTTCTCAGGGGTGCCCCGCTTGCAAAGCAGTCCTGGCTTGGAGTGCCCTGAGTGCCCACACTCGGCACATCACAGCACTCGGCCATCAGCCCGGCCGCACTTGCCGCAGGCTGCCATCTGGGGAGAGGGGACAATTGGGGGGCTGCGGGAGAGCTTCCACCCCCAGAAGCCCGCAGAGCCAGCCCAGTCCTCCCCATCGGGGGCTCGTGACCCATGACACATGCTATTGGGGGGTTTCATTCCAAGTCTGTGGGGTTTATTTTGTGGGTTTAACACATCCCACTGGTTTCTGCAGTGAGAATACTGCACAGGACATTCTTTATCTTGCTGAGATCAGGACATTTAAATCTCCAGTCTGAAAAGAATCAGCAAGTCCACAAATCTGACCTCACAGGTTTGCTGGTGGGCACCAGAAAATGAGCACACAGCTGTGAAGTCACTTAAACCTATCAAGTTTGATTTAAGGATCTTTCTGGCAGAGGCACAATCCAGTTCTCCAAGGCAAGCTTCAGATACCTGAGTCACAAAAGACCATCCTCTCTTTTCTTACAACTCCCTGCTTCGTTCACTAAATAACTAACAACTCTGACCTCATTCCTGTGCCGGTTTTCTCTTTCGCTGTCCCTAGTACTCAGTTGTGACCTAGGCTTAGTGGTTCCTCCCCTTAGCTGAGGGGATACATTTTTAGTCTCGGGCAGGCCTGGGCTTGCCTGTCCCACTCCTGCCAATAGTACACAACAAATTTCTGCTACCAGTGATGCAAAGGTCGTACAGATGGCAGCATGGTTCACTACACAACCCTGACGCATTCCTAGAACAGGGCTGTCACGTGCCCTTAATGAGGCAGGCGTCTTGTGGACCAAAATAGTATGTGATCCTGTAAGGAAAGCCTGTCATAATGCAAACACACAAAGGAACTGGGTTAAGGTTGCCCTGGCAACTTAACAGTGGTGTTTGCTAACTGGTGAGTGCCTGAATGCTTTTAACTTTAAAAAAAATATGATCTCCTAAGCTTGCCAAAGGTTAAACATAGGAGAAAAAAAGAATTAGAGACAAAAATGCCATCATGGGGAACCATGCTGGCCCCTCACATGAGACCTCAGTACGGCTGGGCTCTTTAGTCTCATGGCACAGTCTCTACCATAGGAGCCAGCAGAGAAATAGATAGTAGAAGGCGGCTCTTATCTTCTCTGTTGGCCTGGCATGGAAGGGGGATAAGACACATTATGCCAGGGGGGAGAGATGTCCCCTGCCTCTGTGTAGAGGGGACATGTGAAGGGAAAGCATCCTGCTGGGTCTTGCCCCGGGGTCGGGAGCGTGTCAGGTCTCTTCACACACACATGTGCCTATTGGGCCATGGCCCCTGGGTGTCAAGCAGCTGGAGCCACCTGCCCAAGGGTGGCATGGCACGTGCTCGCACATGCACAGGTGTCTGCGTGATCCGTGGAAGGCATGGCCCACACGCGCGGTCTCTGGTCTCCCTCCTGCCTCCCTCCCTCCCGAACTACTTAATTCGAACTACTTACCCAGTACGGTCTCCCTGGATGACCCTGCCGACTCTGGTGATGGAACTGCTTGCGGTGGCCCCTCTGGCCCCGGATCGCTGTCCCCCGGGCTGGCACGGACCGCCCCGCCCCCCAAGAGTCGGTCGAGGGCGGGGAAGTAGGGGCAGGGGGCAGCCCCTGCTGCGGCGCCGCCCCTGGTGGCCCTGGCGTACACCTGCCGCAGCTGCTTTTCTTTCAAGTGCACCTGCTCCTGGGTGCGCCTGTGTCCCTTTCGGGCCATGGCGGCTGCTATGCGGC